TTGACGACCGAGTGCTTTCCGATCGGCTCGATTCACTGGCGCTGCGAAGAGATGTTGCATCTCTTTGCGTATTTTATCGCATCTATCACGGGGAGTGCTCTGAGGAATTGTTCGGATTAATCCCAGCCGCCAAATTTCGTGAACGCACTACACGGCAAACGTCCCGATACCATCCACACCATCTGGATGCTTGGCGGTCCACCACTGTACGTTTCAAAAGGAGTTTTCTTCCGCGTACAACCTCTCTGTGGAATAATTTACCACCGGTGATTTTTCCGGACCGATACGACCTGGGGACCTTCAAGAAAAGAGCTTACTCCTTTCTAAAGGGCCGGCAACGCACCTGCAATTCCCCTGGTGTTGCGGTTGATCATGGGCGGCGGTAGTCACTTAACATCAGGTGAGCCACATGCTCGTTTGCCCCTTCTTCTATAAAAAAAAAAAAAAAAAAAAAAAAAAAACCGTGAAATTCAGGGAACTTTAGATATTGGCATGAGTCAAATGCAAATAATCTTGCATGAACAATTAGGTGTAAAAAAGTTATTTTCCCGATGAATACCGCATTCGCTCTGTGAAGAGCAAAAAGCGGCTCGCGTTACTTGGTGCGTTAGAACTCTCGAAAGATTCCACGCAGGATCCTCAAATGCTGTATACAATATTGTATCAGGTGACAAATCCTGGATATACGCGTACGAACCCGAAACAAAAAACCAGTCACGAGTTTGGGTGTTCGAAAATGAGTTAAAGCCAACAAAAACTGTTCGTTCACGGAGTGTTGCAAAAAAAATGGTGCCACGTTTTTGTCCAAAACCGGCCATGTTACGACTATTCCTCTTGATTTACAAAGAACGGTTAATGCAAAATGGTATGCTAGCATTTGTTTGCCACAGGTCGTTTCTGAACTCCGTAAAGAGAACTGCAACCGCCACATCATCCTCCATCACGACAATGCGAGTTCTCACACCGCACACAGAACAAAAGAGTTTTTAGAGCAAGAAACATAGAATTATTAGATCATCCGCTGTACAGCCCTGACCTAAGCCCTAATGATTTCTATACTTTCCTTAAAATAAAGAATGAATTGCGTGGACAGAGATTTTCATCACCTGAAGAAGCTGTGTACGCCTACAAAGCGGCCATTTTGGAGGCCCCAACTTCTGAATGGAATGGTTGCTTCAATGATTGGTTCCATCGTATGGAAAAATGCGTCAAATTTCGCGGAGAACACTTCGAAAAGCAATAAATACATTTTTAAATAGTAATGTTGTGTCACTTCCTTGATTCCCGAAATTTTCAGTGTCACCCTCGTAGTTATGATGAGTTCTAACCTTCGAACTTAATGGAGTGACCTGAAGGTGTACTTTGTTGACCGCTCACTCATCTCATCATAACATCATAACTCATCATAACTAATGAAACTAGTCCAAACCCGATACACCTAGTACTACTCGGTGACAAGTACCAAATAGCGGTCAACAAAGTACACTTTCAGGTCACTCCATCAAGTCGGGAGGTAAGTATATAATTTGATTTATGTATATGAATCCTACTTACTTTTGGCTAAATAAAAAACTGTGAGTATAAAACTAATAATTTTATGTTACTTTGTCAAGAACTTATGTATTGGTTTTTTCTAATATTTTACAATAAATCAAAACAGGGATCAAAAATAAATTAGCCCTTATGGCAATATGTTAATATGATTCATCCGTATACGTAAAATGAATGAAAAAATATGCATCAGTTTTATTTTTTCTACGACTATTTGTGACATTTTGATAAAAAAATAAAAAATATTTTTTGTTGAATATATCTGCATACTTACAATAGTTTTAGAAATTTTAAAATATGTTGATAATAGATCAAAAATGTACCTAAACTGTAGCCGGCATCTTTAATTTTTTAGAAAATGGCAACGAAAGTTCATTTTTACAGTATAAAAATCTATTATTTTCAACAAAAGGTCATTTCTTTTTAAAGATGAAAAACCAATCTATACATGGTAGTTTTTAGTTATATTTGATTTGGTTTAGTTTTTTTGCAAAATGTACCGAAAAGTGGTATAATTTTGGTCGATTTGCAAACGCGACCTTAAATTAAAAGTAATTTTGTTCCATTCTATTTGGTGTCCCTAAATAGAATAATGAAGTTTTTTTTATAGAATAGGGGTATAGTATAGTATAGTTAGAAAGTACAAGTGTGCTTGCACAAACACTCGCGCACTAAACTTCTGTCTTACGCAGGAGCCTCTACAGTGACTAATATTTGGTCCGTCGGACATAATTATTAGGTTTGCGATGCATATTAGGGATGATCGATGTTGATATTGATAGCTTAACATCGATGTTCGATATTTATCCTACTCAAAACATCGATGTTGGCCATTATCGATGTTATAGCACATGTACCTATTTAGTAGGTTAATATTAGATGAACAAAAAATTGGTAGTGTTTTTTATGGTTTATTATTAATTAAATTAAAGAAATTAATAAAATATTTAGTGTTAAACATGAACAGTAATTTAAAAAATGGGGAAAACTTAACAAATATTTAGTTAATTTGTTACATTTTTTGCCGATGATGAATATTACTATTTTGATATTTAAATGTTCCTATACAATTATAAATATGGTATTAAAAATTTTACTATCCTAATTTACGATTTAGATGTAGGTTTTATATTAACTACTCCTATCGCGAAATAAAAAAAATGATTATAGAGGAAAAGTTAGCAAACTTCACAAAAACAAAATAATAGAATTTTCCGTCACCTTTGTTTACACAATTTTAATCAGGTAGCCCATGCAGTAAGTATCTACAGCCATTTATAAAATGCACTGTAGAATGCACTATGCAGTGAAATTGTCTATGCTCACGATTGCCCTGTAATTTATTTTCATAAACTTCAAGCAAACAATAAACATGTCATACCAAGCCCAAAAAATCAGCTAAATATAATTAAATTGTGTAGATACATAGTTTCAAAATTATGTGTGTATAGACAGCAAGAAAAAAAAAACAATAAATTTGAATATCAATTTATTTAAAGAATAGTTATTAGGCGACAACCGACAACGACACCACAATAACAAAGCGAAAGCAGTTACAACTGTGACATTAAAGTTCACACTCGACGGGGAGTTTGACATAACATAATGCTATTTTTTTAGGTGATCAACGCATTTAGGAATCCTTAATTATTCAAATTTTTAAACCTTTAATAGGAGATGAAATACTCGTATGTAGTTGATATTGATTTCGCGGGTTTGCATTGTTCACAAGTTCTTATTAATCGATTATTAGTTAATGGACATCGATGTTTCGAAGTTTAACGTGTGGTAAAATCGATGTTAAAACATCGATGTTTTAATTTCTAACATTGATGATCATCGAACATCCCTAATGCATATGTGTCGCGAATATTGAAAGAATTGAATCGTGGAAAAACACAACATAATTTAAAAAAATACTTTCGCTCTTTCTAATTACAAAGTATGTATATATAACATACAATATTCTATTATTCAATTACGGACTGCAGCGCTAGTGGACAGAGTAAGCCGATCACTCATTATTTATTTATTTAATCTTCACTGTAATATACCTTTAACTGGGAGTTACAATGGGCGGATTTAATACCCTATAGCATTCTCTACCAGTCCATCCAGAAAATGGACACATAATGTTGCCATATTCATAATACCTCATCTTTACAAATTATTATTTGTAGTTTAGATGTTATGGGGGAACAGATGAACGTACATACATACATATCCACAAAAATACACACCGGTGAGAATCATGGCCCTCCTTCTTGTTTCGCTTTAGTCGGGTGAAAAACAAACTACGTATAATTTAAAAAATAACTTGTTTCCTTTCTTAGCACGTCTGAGCATATTGCTCTAGAATTTTGTATAACTGTCGCGTGGATTTCTATTTTCACAATTTTCTTCCAGCAATCAGACTCTATTCAAACTTGAGAAATGAATTGAATTTTATGTGGAAATATTCTATATGTATTCCCTATCATTACTTTATATTCCATTGACTTAAATTTAAAAATTCAGCGTTTTAAAAACTCACAATATAACTATATTATATAGTTTCATATATTTAAAATTTGATCATAATATGATTATTTGCTTTAGAGATAAATAAATTCGTATACTACAAGGAATTATATGAGTCAATTCGTTCCTCTCCCTTCCACTATCAGACCAGAAGTTTTGCAGGTCTACATCCCTTTGTTGTCAAAATACAATAAGTATTGAAAACAAAATTTTCTTGGTCGTACATAATGCACATAATTATTATTATTATGCATCTGAATAATGAATAGGATTTTGTCATGTTATACCAATGTGCTTTATACCTATTTCCTACATCACTTCTTACGCTCATCTAAATATAAGTCAAGCTCTAATTTGGAACCAAAATAGTCTATTAAAACATGAAGTAAGTATATTACTCTAAGGTCAGTATTAAACCGCACAGAGTAGAGATTGTCACCAAAGGATTTTAAAATTTATTGGCAATAAATAATAATTATAATAATAATAAAAAGGCGTAAGGAAGTGACGACCCCATCGCCCGCTGACGTAACAGTTATGTGACAAAACTGCTACGTCGGCGCGGTCAGTCAGCATCCTGCCAAGAGGAGTGAGCGCCGTGCCTAGGCAAAATTGTGGGTGCAAAGGTCCGTTTGTGCATATGACCCAACCACGAAACGGTGCCGGGCTTGGGCGTCTCCCGTTATTTGGCGCCCCTAAAATGGATGATGACACAGAAAGGAACGCGCATATGGCCGCTGCCTGGGGGTCGCCGGGGCGCATCTGGAGCTGGCGCTGGCCGCGGCAGCATGCGGGCCGCCAGCCGAGCGCGAGGAGCTGCACGATCACCTAGCAACCCCTCGCATCTATAATCCCCACCAGAAGGCTTGGTGTCGGCCGGGTCTTCTCGGACTCAGCAAGCGACACCCGCCGCTGGTGGAGCACATCGCATGCGTTGGACAAAATCTATGAACGAAAACAAATTGCGGGCGTACTATAGGGCGAAAGGGGAAGAAACTGTGGGAATCGCGTATAGGGCTCGGATGCATTGCTTTTTTGCTGAGCTGGAGCCTTCTATCCCCGTCATGGAACAAAACCTGGCAGACCGAGTTCGGTACATAATGCGCTCGAAAATATTTGATGATGCCGAACTCGAACGACTACGACGTGAGGCTATTCCCTCCCTTCGTCGAATGAATCGGCTATGGCCGGAGATGCAGCTCCACATCCGACAGACCAGCATCCACACGTGGAAGCCGCCATGGATCTTCCAAGTTGTGGTGGATTCGAACGACGATGAAATAGTCTCCCACGAAAGAGCAAGTGAGGAGTATATTGGAAGAGGCGATTTTGGAAACGCGCAGCACCCCTTTCAAAAATCGACCGTGACTTCCCCGCATACCCCTAAGCAAACGAAATCGGGCTGTCGTGATGGCTCTTAACCCAATGCTGGTGACCTATTTGGAAGCCAGCGGGACCTTTGCGAGACGGACTCAATTCTCTTTGGCGCCGCAGTGGCAGTTTGCCGTATTATTAGCGCCAAACTTCCCATGGCTGGATGCGCTATTACACAAAGTAGCGCCATCCCAGTCTGGAGAAAAAGAATCGAGGACCGTATCGCAAAGGCAAGGGCTCTTATCGGCAGACTGACAAGCTTCAGGTCGGGTAATAATAGACCAAGGATTGTGCGCACCGTTAGGATGGCGTTTGCTGGGACAAATATCAGTTTGTCCCAGCCGGATATCACGCAGAAACTAACGGAGCACATAGACGACCTGAAACAAAAGATCGCTGCTTGGGGGAAGCGGATTCGACGATTTACCGAGAGGTCAAGGCGGTTCAACCAGAATCATCTCTTCCAGAGTGATCAGAAGAGGCTCTATAAATCATTGGAGCGACCAAAGGTATGTGGAGTGGGCCAAGGACCGGATCAGGCTGACATTATCGCATTCTGGGGTGGCCTGTGGTCAGAGCCCGTAAACCACATCGAGGGCCCTTGGATGGAAGTTGTGGCGAGCCAGGGCGCGAGTGTTACGCCTATGGACCCCATCACCATAACGCCGGAAGACGTGGCTGAGGCGGTCCGTAGGGCCCCGAACTGGAAAATCCGGGACTCGACGCGCTGCATCATTTCTGGCTGAAGGGGTTCATAGTGTGTCACGCTGTGCTCGCCCGACAGTTTCAAGAGGCTCTCGACCAGAAGTCGCTCCCGAGCCTCTTTACCACTGGGACACTCACTTGGTTCCTAAAGATCAGGATACTACAGACCCGAGCAAATACTGCCCCATCACGTGTCTACCCACCATATATAAGACACTGACATCCATTTTGAGCGCGAGTATCACTCGTCACCTGGAGCTAAACCAGGTGATGTCACGCGCTCAAAATGGATATCGGGCGGTGGTCGTGGAACCAAAGAACCACTCCTCATTGACGCGGTCATAGGCAAAGTGGTGAAACGCAACCGTCGGAACTTCTCTGCCGCCTGGATAGACTACAGAAAGGCGTTCGACTCTGTGCCCCATACATGGCTAAAGAGGGTCCTCGAGCTGTACAAGATTGACTGTACAGTTAAAGACTTCCTCGAGCAGTGTATGGGGCAGTGGAGTACGATCCTTTGTCATCTGGGCGAGCGGATGATGGCTGCGGAGAACCACATAAGGATAAGAAGGGGTATCTTTCAGGGTGATTGTTTGAGTCCAATCTGGTTCTGCCGCTCTGAAATACGATCTCGTGGACCGGAAAGTGCCGTATTACAAGTACTTGCCGGAAGCCGTGCTCGAAAATGACCGCGCCAGGCTCTACTGGGACCGGGCCATCATCACAGACAGGACTATTCTTGCGAATAAGCCTGATATTGTGCTGATGGACCGGGCACGGTCAAGGATATTTTTGGTCGACATTACCATTCCGTATGACGAGAACCTCGTGAAAGCCAAAACAGATAAGCGAACAAAATATCTGAACCTGGCTCACGAGGTGACCGACATGTGGGGTGGTCGGCCGACCGAAATTATTCCTGTAGTCGTCTCTGCGAATGGGCTAATCCCAGTCAGCCTCTCGGGTCATCTGAGGCGACTGGGACTCCGTGACGGACCGCTCCGGGCTCAAATGCAGAAGGCAGTGGTCCTCGATACCACCCGCATCGTCCGTCGGTTTCTTTCCCTTTCCTCCTAACCCTCGGCCGTTTGGTCTCCGTTGCCGAGGGCTTCCATCTGGTTGGATCTTTATTTATTTGTGTATTTTTTTGTATTTATTTTATTTTATTGATATTTATGTATATTTATCTTTTCATTTTAATTTATAATTATATATTTATAGAAACCAACCAGATGAGAAAACTATACAGATACCCCTATAATAATTGTGTGGAATATTTGTTGAGGTAAAAAAGTGTTTATTTTTAGTCTACTGCGTTTTTAATATATAAAACAATATATTTTGTATATTTTTTTATATATTAATTTGCGTTGAGATTGAAATAAAGCTTAATACACAAAACTTAGAATTTTGTAAATTATGGTCGGATTTTGACCACGCTATATTTTTACAACTATTAATTACACTTAAAGCGTAACTTTATTATTTTTAGGATATTACAATATTCATCGAATTTAAATAGTACTAAGGTGTTGTGTTTACTTATCCTCAATATTCACATTTTAATTTTTCTATATAATGAAAGATATCCGCAAAGTTGACTTTCACAAATAATAAATTATCACTTCAAAACAGACATGCTCATAAACAAATATACATTTTCTATAACATATTTTTGTACTGTTCCGTTGAATAGGAGGTATTATAAATATAATATTCATTACTAGCGTGTAATTTTATATAAATATTTATAATAATTGGTCATATCTGTCAAAATGTTATTCTTTGCAATCACGTCATTAAATAATTATTTTGGGTTTGTACATTTTTTGTATCGGAAGCCAGTTCCTTTTAAAATGGTTCTCAATTACCCTATATAACCATTGCATAATACGGCATTTTCTAAACTTACTCGCAACTTTGCTGCAGTGCGATTCACAGTAATTATTTTTTTAAAAAATAGACCTTGTTTATGTTTGAACATGATTGATATAATTTATGCAAGTCGAAAAATTAAGTTTTTAGTAAATATTAAATAAATTAAATATGTGAATTTTCGATTATGTGAATACTTTTACCGATTATTCGCATTTGCATGAATTTAAATTGATTTTTATTGTAGTTCTTATTCAAAAGAAAATGTCACTCCATCACGTCTTGTAGGTGGTCCTTATCAAATCATCACAATCATTACAGCCACCTTTGCTCTCAAGTCCATTAAGTACTGCCGTAATGCCTTCCCACAAATAATGCCGATAAATGATCCTAAATTATCTGCCCATCAACCCATCGACTTCTCACATATCTTACCAGGTCGTCACTCCACCAGCATGGGGCCTAGCACGAGTCTCAATTGTCAGTTTATTGCCGTTTCAGCTTACTTCTCCATTGAGTTATGTTATTTACTCTGGTTCTGCGAAATAAAATGTATATCGACGGTGGAAAGAAAAAAAAGTACCAAGCGACACTTTGGTTGGTATTGACTTATATAAATCATCGCAATCAGATTTTTTTCTGTGTCGATTTGTACTATATTCATGTTCCTACGATGAAGTTAGTAATTTAAGCAGTCAAACTCTAACCTCTGTTCGGTACACAACTTTGTTATAGTTTATAATATTCCGAAGTGTAAATTAAATTAAATTAGTTTTGCAGTAGTAAAGGTGTCTTTTTTTAAAAGGACTGCAGGCGAGCCATCCTAACAATTTTGGTGTCAGAAGTGAGATATCCTGGGAAAGCAATTAAAGTACTGGAATTCCTAGGTGTTAGGCGCGTCGCGACCAGGAATTCCCGCCTAATACTTATTTGGCTCCGTGAACCTTAGCGTTCATCACCACGATCATTGTGTAAGGTGCCAGCTGTCGACGGTAAGTCTTGGGTGCATGTGCCTAAACCCGCACAGTTGCGCTTGTGGTCGAAGATAAGACTCCGCTACAAAGCGCGAGCCCGCACCGCATCATTCAGAAACTCCTGCTGCTCCAGCGTGGTCGACTATAAGTCTCCACTTTCGAGTGTGAGCCCGCATCACACCCCTTGCACTATCGGAATACCGGACAGTTTGACTCGCCACCAACATCAGACCTTGTATCATCATCATCATCATCACCACGTGTAAGGTCTCTTCACGGACAACGCAACGTGACTTCGAGGTAGCGTCGTAATTTAAGACTGAGTCGTCGAATAGGTACTCAAGCCACCGCTGCAATTAAAGTCATCGCTGCAGTGTCGAATTAACTGACAGGTTTTGGAAAACCAAGATGTTCGTGAGAATCTACATTTTGTGAGTAATTTTTATATAATATAAAATTAAAGTTTCTAAAGTTATTAATTAAAGTGAAACAAGTGAAAGTGATTAAATCTAAAAAAGTAATCAATTATTAGAGATTTATTTTGACATTAAGTCATTGTATTTTAATACCTATTTGTTTAACACATTTTGTTGTGTTCTGATGATTTGTACTGTATTTTAAAAATATTACCTATTAATTAATGTTCTCTAAAAAAGGTAAAAGCAGAAGAAGTTAAAATTTCGAACTCTGACTCCTCAGATAGTTCACTGTCGGTATCAAATCCAACACGGACAAATATTAAATTAAAAATGTCCGAAAAAATCACCCTTTCGGTCCTTATCAAATTCGTTAAACCCTACAATGGGTATCGCGAGTCTTTGCCAGCATTTCTTACAAATTGCGAAAATGCAATTTCATTGGCAAGTACAGACCAACAGAATGTTTTGTTTAAATATATTGTATCCCAACTTGAAGAAAAAGCACAATTAGCTTGTTGCTTAAAGAAATTTAGTAGTTGGCCCGAATTAAAACAATTTATTAAATCAACATTCGGAGAGAAAAAACATTCAACGCATTTACTTGTAGACCTACAAAATTGTAAACAGTTGCCTTCTGAAGATGTGACACAGTATTCATTAAGGATTGAATCGTGCCTTACGCGGATTCAATCCGACATTCACTACAGCTGTGAGGATGAAAAGAACTTTTAGGTAGACTTGCAGCAATAGAAGACTTAGCTTTAAATACTTTCTTATTGGGCATGGATTCTAGTTATTCCCATACTGTACGCTGTATGAACCCTTGAACTTTATCCGAGGCGATTACGCATGCTATCTAGGAAGAAAAGTTATTTAAATTAAGTAAATTATCGCTGAGCTCATCTAAATGGTGCTCAATTTGCCACAAACTCGGACACACTTCTTCCGAGTGCTACAAAAATAAATCGAAGGTTTCCTATCCTAACCTCCATCATCTTAACTCTAATTCTAATTCATTGCATAATAAAAATTCAAATAATCCAAATAATTATTATAATAAACCCCATTCTAATTTTAATCCTAATAAAATATGTGCATATTGCAAAAAGAAAGGCCATTTAATAAGTGAGTGTCGCAAACTCAATTTTAAAACCAATAATATACGCCCCGATGAGTGTACTGCACTATCAAGTACACGAGTACCGAGCACTAGTAATGTGCCGGACAATAATGGCTCTAATGTATACGTTGTTTGCGCCTCTGAAAATAGCAATGATAATTTAAACTAAACAGGGTTTCGGTGCCGTGTCTGCCGAAACGTATTATTAGTTTAAATGACACGAAACCTATTAATCTTTCTAAATCCCGTGTTCCTAAATTATTTTATAAAACACGGATGCCAAAAAAAATTGATGAACATTTTTTAAATTCTATTCACCTTCGTCTGAATTGATATGTTCCACTTCAAATAAAAGACTCGATTCCTGTGTTCCTAAGATATTTTTAACACAGAATAATAAAAAATCAGAGACTCAAAGGAATAAAAATAATGTTTCAATTTCTAATAACTTTTGTAATAAAAAATTTAATGGTTGAAAAATCTACGTCACTCTCTAGGGTTGGCACACGCAAGAAAACGTATACAATTCATAATATTAATAATGATATTTCTCTGCCTCACGTTATGTTAAAGACTAATTTTAATTAAAAGCCCCTATGTTTTCTTATCGGTACTGGTTGTTTGATTTTTATTGTGAAATATTATAGTTTATT